TTTATGGCTCCATGAATGTGCATCCACCCCTCCAACATACACACACACACACACACACACACACACTGAGACTCAGCCCTACACCGCTGGCCTCATCCTGAACGTGGCTCCGATCAGATCTGATCAGTTTCCGCTCAGCTTGCTCTCTCACAGCGTGAACAAAAAGAGGCAGCAGCATAAATTTCCTCATCGTGTTTTTCTCTGTAATGTCGTGCAGCAGAGCAGCTGCAGGGCCTTTTCCTCCAACATCCATCCGTCTGACTGTCTGACCACGCTTCCAGTCCCAGCTGAGCAGGTCGCAAGATGATCGTCAAGAGGTTTATCCAAAGTGAAGCTCGAGCCAACCCACACTGGCATCAACTGAAATAAATAATGCTGCAATAGAAAAGCATGATGAGACTGTACCAGCCACAAAATGATAGAAAGCAAACATTACCTTTTAAAGATAATTTAACAGCTGAAGGCCTGCTGGGCTTGTTTAAAAATACGACCTGATAGACTTAAAACCTCCTCTTTTTTGTTCTTTACACAACTACGTCTGTCACTTTTTGTGCCCAACCCAACACTATACGTGTATTTGTGGAGAGACTGTTTGAAAGTGTGCACTGTTATTACCATTCAGACCATTACTGCACCCCGCCCTTCTCTATGATGGCTGAATTTTCACACCACTTTCCACCTAACCCGCTGATTAAACCTGGAAAAAATGAAAAACGAAATAAAGCAGTTTCACATTATAATGTTGATGCTGTTTGGTATGTCAGAGATGGCCCACTTGCCCAGTACCTGCAAATGTGTGCTCACCTTTGTGTCTGATCCAGACATTCAGAAGGTTTTTAAATGTTAGTTTTTGCAAAAATTAATTATTTTTTGCAAAAATATAATTTTTTGCATCTATCAATGTAATTCATGTTTGGTTTGTCCGTTCTGGGCTACTGTAGAAACATGGTGGTGCAACATAGTGATCTCCATAGACGAGAACCCATTCCCAATATAGATATAAACTGCTCATTCTAAGGTAACAAAAACACAACAAGTTTCATGTTCAGGTGATTATACACCTGAATGTAAAAAAAACATTCTTATTATGTTCCATTTCTGCCAATATATCCCCCTAAATCCCACACACTGGACCTGGACTGGACTACTCCCTAATTACCTGATATTTGATTGAGGCCACCTGTTAAGAACGCTGAGATGACTGTGACCTCTCTTTTAAGTAGTAAACTTGTATTGTTTTACTTGTAAAAAATATAATAGCACAATACCATCTCTAATCGTATCTTAACTTAGGTAAAACTTGATAAAGTGAATATTACAACAAAATAATACCTAAGGATTGCTTTAGTTTTTATGCCTCCACGCTGGCGATAGCTGCAGCTGGAGGCATTATGTTTTCAGGTTGTCTGTCCACCTGTCCATCTGTCTGTTTGTCCCATCCTTGTGAACATGATGCCTCAAGAACACCTTGAGGGAATTCCTTCAAATTTGGCACAAACACTGACTCAAAGATAAACTGATTATATTTTGGTGGTCAAGAGTCAAAGGTCAAGGTTGCTGTGACCTTGTATCCATCTCATTCTTTTGTCTGCAGTATCTCTATATGTCTGGGCCAAATGTGAAGAACCTTCTCAAGAAATTTCTTCACATTTGGCACAGACATATACTTGGGCTCAACGGTGAACTGTTCAGATTTTGGTTGTCAAAGGTCAAGGTCATTGTGACCTTGTCTGTGTCATTTTTTGTGAATGCGATATCATTGTAAGGGAATTTCTTCAACCTTGCACAAATATTCACTTGGACTCAACCAAAAACTGATTGGATTTTGGTGGTCAAAGGTCAAGGTCAATGTGACCTTGCATCTGTCTTATTCTCGTGAGGATGATATCTTAACAACACCGTAAGGGAATGTCTTTAAATTTGATACAAACATCCACTTGGACTGAAGAATAATCTGATTAGAATTTTTGGCCGAAGGTCTAAGGTCAAGGCCACTGTGACCTCACTGTTGACATTCATGTCCTAAATGAGCTCTCAATTGTACATGGACATTATGTATTACGGACTCTTATTTTGAAAGTGACTGAAACCGGAAATGCTTGTTGGTAACCTATCTATATAATGGGTGTGTCAATAAACGATTTTTTTTTTGTTTGAGCAAGCAACACGTGTGGACGTCTCCTCATTTCTCCCAGCGTTTTATTCCTCCATCATTTTATTTTATGTTTAACGAAGTATCTGGTACCACGAGCAGAACGCTGTGCATTGCGCTGTCAGCACTCACAAAATATGTCTTTTCAAAATATCTCAAGAAATCAAATGCTAATTATAAAAATACTCCACAAAATGTTTGATAGAATGAAACAATGAAGTGATGACATTTAATGTCTAAAAGGTCGAAGATCACCATTACTGTGACATCATAATGTTCTGCAAAAACACTTTCTTTACGTTATTCAATGTCATAACTGAGGAACAGAGGAGGAAATATTTGGTCAGATACTGAATTGGTGACACTAATCTTGGGTGTCCTGAAACTGTGTTGATTGTATAGATCTTCTGTGCTGTTGGGGGGTAGATGTGTGTGAAGCATCCATGTTTTCAGACATAGATATAAACTGTATGAGAAAACTGCAGCCCTGTCCACAGTAGTACATTGCTAAACTTCCATGCCGGGGGATTTGGTTTATCAAAGTTGATAGTAAAGCAACACAATACATAAAATTAGGCTGACCAAACGTCCTCTTTTGCCCAGACATGTCCACTTTTCACGTCCTGTCCGGGGCATCCGGGTTTTTTTTTATAAATTGATGATAATGTCCAGTTTTCCGTGTGTGTGTGTGTGTGTGTGTGTGTGTGTGTGTGTGTGTTAGTGTTAGAGTGCGGCACGGGCCGCATATTTCTGTCAAAGCCCGACCGAGCCCAACATTATTTAATTACTAAAGCACTGAGTTTGTGTCACACAGTTGTTATGGTTACAGACTACTTAAGGGTCCATGTCATTGGTTCGACAGCCCATTGGTTCGACATCCCATTAGTCCGACTCGCAGCGGGCGTATGGTGCGCCGCGACCGGCTTGAGGCGGAGCAGGCTCACGGCTTATGTGTTTGTCACTTTCTTTTTCATTTTAACCCACACCATGATCTTTTCCTGACCCTAACCAAGTGGTTTTTGTGCCTAAACCTAACCAGACCTTAACCACAGGGCATCATGATGATTTCGGAACGGACTTCGGAACAATGAGTTTAATATGGTCGGAACAATGGGATGTCGAACCAATGGGCTGTCGAACCAATGGGCAGTTCCCCTATTTAACAGGCCAGGCATCCGCAGAGAGGGAGACCTTTGTGCTTGAGAAGGGAGCGGGTGGCGGGAGCGGGTGGCAGGAGCGGGCGGCGAGAGGTCCGACTCTTCCAGCGAGAGGAGAGAGAGAAATAAAACAAAATAAGATAAAATAGGAGACACCTGTCTCCCTCTTTTATTTTATTTTCAGTGTTTAATCAAGGTGGAGGCGGGCGGCTGGAGGTCCGACACTTCCAGCGAGGGGAGAGATAGAAACAAACAGCCAATGTCTGTCTGTGTGTGTTATGTTCTGGTGTTGTCATGTAAATAACAGTGCCCAAGCAATAAACAGGACAGATAATAGGATTTTATTTATTTTTACACTACATTTTCACTGAAAGCTGACCAAATCCGACCCGAGCCCGAATACAATTTATAGCTACATTTTTGACCAAACCCGGCCCGGCCTGTCGGGTACCGTCGGGCTCGGATCGCCACACTCTAGTGTGTGTATGTGTCCCCTATAGGGGCCTATCTGAATTTCTGTCTTTGAGAGATATTATTTTGTAATATAACTGAATTTTCTATCCATACATATAAACTTTAAATAGGCTCTAGGACTATTAAAATTATAAGGCATCTTTGAGTAAACTGCGAGTATCATTTAAGTAGGCTTTGTCGTGGCCGAGTGTCCTCTTTTTTGGAAATCAAAATATGGTCACCCTACATAAAATAAGCACAGCAGGAAGGTCAGATAGCTCGGACCACACTGTTTAACTATATATTGTTTAATGTTACAGTTACAGCTGAATATGACAACTAAAATCTACAAGTTTCCTGAATTTACGTATCTGTTTAATTGTAATCAATTGCTGTTTTTTTTTTTTTACCTGGGAGGTATTGCTGTTGCTAGCATGACGTCACAGTGATTTGGTCAATAATCACCTGAAAATAAGAATGTTGTGTTTTCATTACCTTAGAATGAGCAATTCATATCTACACAGGGAGCGGGACGTTGTCTACGGAGATTGCTATGTTGCACCACCATGTTTCTACAGTTGTTCAGAATACACAAAACCAACGCTAGCTCTAGATGGGGACATTTACGTTTTTCCATCGGCCACCATACTTAGCAGCCCTGCTGTGACGAGAGCATCAGCAAAACAATGATTTTTTAAAGTGAAATTGCTCCATTAGATGTACCTACACCTCAAGGAGAAACTACACTCCTTCGAAGACAGCAATGTGCACATTTTGGACAGGGAAGACCGATGGTTTGAAAGAGGTGTAAAAGAAGCCATCTATGTGAAATTGGAAAAGCCACCTCTCAATAGAGGAGGAGGTCTGCAACACCACCTATCCCCCACCTATAATGCTGTCCTTTCATCCTTGCCCAGGAGGCTTAACAACTTAACCTCTAAAAACAACGGTCGTTCACAAATGGCCACTCTAATGACTCCAGTGACAACCGTTGCAGCAGGAGTTTCAACGACTGTCGTTGACACACCATTGGAGCACTAACGAACCAGTGACATCATTGGCCTTGTGAAGACCTCCCCAGAGGTTAAATACCTGGGTGCTTCCACACCAGTTTGTCAGACTAGTTCCAGCCTAGTCAGACAAGCATGAACTGATGAAGCCTCTTGGATAAGAGGTGAAATGTCTTCTAAGACAAAACCAAGTCCAGTTGCGTTCGATTCAATTGCCTTGAGATAACTATGACCTGGATGAATGAGAATATCCACAGGCATGTTGCAGAACAATTTGGGGTTGACACCCTCAAAATGGTGCGGGAATATGAAAGGATGGCTCGAAAGATTGCAGATTACAGAAACCACCTACGGTTTAATCTGAGATGCAGACAAAACAGGCTAATACCAACAAGCCTACACCTACGTTCCACTATGAAAGGCTATAGAGTGGACAAGATCTTGGAAAAGGCACAAAACCAGCTATTAAATGAGAGAGTGAGACAGACCCATTTCACCACTGAAGGGCTGAAGGAGAAAGCGGACCACTTACTCCAAAAACTAACATCCCTCTTACCTGAGGCCGTCCTTGGAAAGATCATTGACTTCACAAATAAAGCACAACTATCTCAACACACCATGAGCAAAGAAAGACAAAAAAGGAAATTCCATAACCTACAAATACGAAGCAACACTAACAAGACAGAAATCCTTACTTGGAGGCAAAAAACTGACAATCCCACACAAGATGAAACGCATGACAGATGGGTAAAGAACTTGTCAGACAGGGAACTTACCCACCCAGAGAGAGGGGTCTTAGCCAAAGGACTGAACTTTGCCGTGACACCACAGCAATTACCTATAGTTGATCTGATCACAGCTACAGAATCAGCTATAAGGAAAAACAACTTGACAGAAACCGAAGCCGAGCAGCTTAGGTTGAAAGTGTCAGCAGCTCTGTCCAGTGCTAAGCCCCCACCCTCCAATCTCACTACTGAGGAAAGGAAAGCTGTGACATCCCTGAGCAAGGATCCAAACATTACCATCCTTCCAGCAGATAAAGGGAGATGTACGGTAGTTCTCAACACATCTGACTACCACAACAAGGTCTCTACACTTCTCAGTGATACTAACACCTATGAATCGCTGAAACGAGACCCAACCAGTGGATACAAGAAAAAGACAATAGAATGCCTACAAAAACTACAGAAAGAGGGCACCATTGATCGCCTACAATATCACCGTCTGTACCCCCAAGATGCCATCCCGTGCATATATGGGCTCCCCAAGATTCACAAAGAAGGGGCCCCCCTCAGACCCATTGTCAGCAGCATTAACTCGGTCACGTATAACATTGCCAAACATTTAGCCAACATCCTGGCTCCCTTGGTGGGCAATACGCCCCACCATATCCAGAACTCCATAGACTTTGTGAACAAAGTAAGAGGTTTAAAAATGGATCCAGATGATACCATGGTATCCTATGATGTGACTTCCCTGTTCACTTGCATTCCAACCATGGAGGCTTTGGAAACAGTCAGGCAACGGTTGATACATGACAACACCCTCCACGACAGAACCAAGCTCAGCCCAGACCAGATATGCCAACTACTGGAGCTCTGCCTGAGCACTACCTATTTCAAATACAATGGCAATTTTTACAGACAGAAACATGGCTGTGCCATGGGCTCACCGGTATCTCCCATTGTGGCTAACCTGTACATGGAGGATGTAGAATACAGAGCATTGAACTCCTTTGAGGGAACAGCACCGAGCCACTGGTTCAGATATGTGGATGACACATGGGTTAAAATCAAAACTCAAGAGGTACAAGCTTTCACTGAACACATCAATTCAGTGGACAGAAACATCAAGTTCACAAGAGAAGATGTTAAGGAGAATAGTTTGCCCTTCTTGGATTGTGACGTGCACATTACAGAGGACAGAGGCCTCCACATTGGGGTATACAGGAAACCCACTCACACAGACCAATACTTACTGTTCGATTCTCACCACCCACTGGAACACAAACTAGGTGTTATCAGGACCCTACAACACAGAGCTGATAACGTACCTACCAGCACTCAGGCCCAAGGGAAAGAGCATGAACATCTGAGGGAGGCTCTAAAAACTTGTGGTTACCCCAGTTGGACCTTTGTGAAATCAGCAGCCTGTTCCAGAAAGAACAAGGTGGGTGAGGAAGAAAAGAACAAGCGCAATAACATTGTCATCCCCTATGTGTCTGGGGTATCTGAAAAACTCAGGAGGATTTTCAGCAAACACCACATCCCTGTGTATTTCAAACCCAGTAACACACTCAGACAAAGACTGGTACACCCAAAAGACCGTACACCACACACTCAGAAGAGCAACCTAGTGTACGCTGTCCAATGCAGTGAGGAATGCCCAGACTTGTACATTGGTGAAACAAAACAACCACTAAACAAACGCATGGCCCAACATAGAAGGGCTAACTCGTCAGGGCAAGACTCAGCTGTCTATCTACACCTCAAGGAGAAAGTACACTCCTTCGAAGACAGCAATGTGCACATTTTGGACAGGGAAGACCGATGGTTTGAAAGAGGTGTAAAAGAAGCCATCTATGTGAAATTGGAAAAGCCATCTCTCAATAGAGGAGGAGGTCTGCGACACCACCTATCCCCCACCTATAATGCTGTCCTTTCATCCTTGCCCAGGAGGCTTAACAACTTAACCTCTAAAAACAACGGTCGTTCACAAATGGCCTCATGTGACTCTAATGACTCCAGTGACAACCGTTGCAGCAGGAGTTTCAACGACTGTCGTTGACACACCATTGGAGCACTAACGAACCAGTGACATCATTGGCCTTGTGAAGACCTCCCCAGAGGTTAAATACCTGGGTGCTTCCACACCAGTTTGTCAGACTAGTTCCAGCCTAGTCAGACAAGCATGAACTGATGAAGCCTCTTGGATAAGAGGTGAAACGTCTTCTAAGACAAAATCAAGTCCAGTTGCGTTCGATTCAATTGCCTTGAGATAACTATGACCTGGATGAATGAGAATATCCACAGGCATTAGATGTACCGCTTCAAATCCCCTGGTCCATTTGTTTTGGTCGGAGAGGAGGAGACCTAATTTGCCGGCTCCTGGCAAAAACCTCCTGAACGTCTTAATCTAAAGTTATCAGGAAAAAAAGGTGATCAAACATTAGCAGGTAATGGGCTATCAGCCCATCTCCAACATGCTGAACAGTGCCGGAGAAACACTGATTTGTAATGTGAAGCTGCTTTATTAAGTGTTTTTATTGATTTTAATCACCTGGGGCCTCATTTATAAAGCTTGCTTATGCACAAAACGGGGCTTGAAAGTGGCGTACGCCACTTCCCACGCAAAGGTTGTAATTTATAACAATAAACTTGGCGGGAGAATGTGCGCACCTGTAAGCAAACTCTGAGTCATGCGTGCGGCAGATTTTGGAGACACTGGGAAGTGGCGACGCAGACAGCGAGGTGGAGAAGTGGAGTCAGATTTTTATTGATGTCTCACACAAATTTAATGTCACGCTATAATCCACCTTAGATCCACATTATCATTGAAATTAAATCCAGCAGCCTTATTTTGCGCTTGGAGTGAGTGATAATTGTTTCATAAAAATGTTGTAAAATCCAACTCAAATCCTGAATTGAAATTCTTTCTAAATACGTATTTAATCCGCACTGCCTCTAACGTCTCATTGTCCACTCTGTGAGCGCAGGAGGGGGAGAGGATGGCGCGACTGCATGGAATATATTTATTTATTTAGCTAGATATTTCCAGTGCATTTATCATGTCTCGAAATACAGCCATTAAGCACAGCTGTTACACTCATTTCATCAGCCCTACTTAGACATGTGCTGTTCATGACAAAACCGGCATGAAGAAACGTGTTCGCCTATTACACTTTCATCTTTGAATTGTATTTCAAATTACACGTTGTATTTTGGGACAGGGATACCACTGGTTCATGCTGTAATTCAGGCCGGGTGTCTGATCAGACTAATTGCCATAAACATATAAATACTGCGGTGACCCTCGTGCGTAATTGCGCAAGATGGCACTGGCACATACTCCTTTTTGCCTCCACCTTTAATAAATGTGATTCTTTATGTCGCACATCAGTGTCAAACATCCTCAAATTTAAAAGCAACACATTAACTACATGTTGGTAAAGGAGTAGAAATATTTGGTCTACCTTTAGATCAGACCACTTTTTTTTTTCTTTGTCACTGTCCGTGCAGTCCCACAGACACAGCTGACAGCATTAGCAGTGTTGATGTGTTGCCACTTTTTTTCACTTTCTTTTATCAGTGATCCCGCTGCTGTGGCCACCAAATAAAATCTTTCTTCAGTCCTCCACTTCCCGTTAAAGGGTCTCTAGCTCAGTCTCGGAGAAATTCCGTTTTTTGGTTCGTTTCTCACACCTGTCGCCGTGACTCACAACGAGAGAACACTCGCATGCTGGCTTATTTATATGCAGATCACATTCACGAGGTGATTTGCATGACCATTTATGGTTGAACTAGGTCGTGTAGAGGGCGGAAAATGAGGCGGATCTGGGTGCGCACAACTCCAGCAGGTCTGTGATTTATAAAGAGAACATTGCGTGCAAGTGTGCGTGCGCACGGTTTTATAAATCAGATTATTTTTTGGCGCACGGCATTTTCAGCTTTTGGGCACACGTCAACTTTTAGTATGAATCCTAAGCACTCTTTTATAAATGAGGCCCCTGGTCTGTTTGTTGTAGATGGATAATTTGGCTCCTGGTACCTCCTGAACAATGAACACTGGAGGAATTCTTACCAGGAGAAGTTTCAGCTGGTTGCAGTCTCCAGTCCTCACCTATAGATGCCTCTTATCCCCCAAAAGTTTGCACACTGGACATTTAAAGCTATAGTGCGTAACTTCTGTCGCCTCCCAGCAGATAATGCGTTATTACAACTAATAAGCCGGCGGCACTTCCATGTACACAGAGTAACACTTGCCAGTCGCCACACACCGTACACAGAGTAATACTTGCCTTTGTGGTAGCATCCACTTCTGAACCGTGTCTCGGCCGCTTCTCCACCAAGTTGCTTTCTCTTTCTACCTGCGCTCTACTGCTATGACACTCTCTGCTCTTCCTCCCCCTCCCTTCTTGTTGTGAGGAAGCATTTCCTGTGTGCCAGCGCAGGAATGTCGCCAGTTGACACGCATACTAAAAATTATATATATTGAAAAATACCGCGAGATGTTAGAGGAGCTGATCGGCTTAATCAGCAGTGTGTCATCTCCTCTAGTAGTGGCTTGCGTGAAACGGACATTTACGGACCTGTAGAAGTTACGCACTATAGCTTTAAGTAGAAGTACAAAAGTAATAAAACACATTTATCACTGTCAGTGTCATCATATATTATTGGACCATTATCATGGATGCATTACCATGTAAACGGTGCTTTAATGTTACAGCTGGGTGTGGTGGAGCTCATTTTAAATGCTTAACATACTTTTGGGAAGTTAAATCTATAACACTTCATATCTGATATACTGACTCCATGTTTTGTCAAATCCTGATCTGTAGTGGAGTAGCAGCAACAGCATAAAGTAACAACACAATAAAGTACAAGCACCTTGTATTTCAGTGCAGTACTTGAGAAACAGTACTTTGTCAGACTCCACCAGTGGCTGGTGGTTTAGTGCCTTGCTCCAGGGCTCCTCTGCAGTACCATTGGTGGTTCTAGTTACTGTCCTTCTGTTTCCTCCTCACAAGAGTTTCCAGCTGGTGTTTGGCTCGGCTGCATGGATTTATTTAGTGTCTGCAGATTGATCACACTGGTTTGTATTTAACCTACTTAGGCAGAAAGCGAGCGCGCTAAGCTGAGCCCCCTGCAGGATTTAACATTTCCAACTGTCAGGACGAATTAACCGGCACTAATACCACTTTCATCCCTCGCTGGGTTCCTTCAGTGGAGTGACTCACAGCTCTGTAACGCTGAGCAGGAGGATGTTGGAGCGTTTCTGAGAGTGATTCTTTTAAACATCCATGTTGATTAGACTGATCTGCTCCCAGGGGCTTCAAGATGAAGAAAAAAGCATTAGGGTTTGATATATAAAACAATAATCTAGGAAAAGACATTGATTAACCTCAAGTGTTTTTAATTACAGGATCCAGGGTGCAAAAGTGTCTGTTATTTCCTCAGTTACACATGTGATCATTTAAATACACATTCTGGTCATTAAATCTGCATTAAAGGAGACAACATCAACAAGTATGGTCCCAAAAGATGATTATTTTTTTTTACCATAGGTATTTTGCTCAAAAGTTCCTATCTTTTGTGTACACAAACAATTGAATGTTCACTTTTTTTTTTTTTTAATGTTTCAGTTTTCAAAGCTGTAGTTAACATATCGTTAACAAGTGGCAACCTCCAGGGCTGAAAAATGAAGCCAACTCGGGAAGTGTTCTTTGAACGGCCACTTGAGGCTGACCCCAGAAGCGAGTCAATTCAGCAGAAATAAACATGTTTACAGCCTGGTACAAAAAACAGTTTTGGTCTCTATTTATCTATTTCCCCCTTTATGACAACAGTATGGGGGTTAATTTCTAAATAATTCACCAGTTTACATTTTATTAAGGCTTACAGTTATGCATAATTAAGGGCTAATCACTTTGAGTGACAGGCTGTCTGCTGATAGTGTCCTCAGCTTCTCAGTCAGAGCCACTCCTCACCCCTCCAAAGCTCCAGCCTCTCTCCCAAATTTGGTCAATTCTGGTTTCAAAACTCCAAGACAGTGATAGCCGAAATGCCTCGATGCTTCAGAACAGGAGTCCACAAACCAGTGGGTGACCTTACGGTAGCTGCATCCATTATTTGTTACAGTCTATGGTTGTTTTATAATACCCACTTTTGTTTTTTCGTTCGTCTTGAATGGTCTGCTGCTGTCTGCTGCTTGGCCACTGTCTAGCATAGGTGACAAATCATCAGGGACGTCATGGTTGGGGGAAAGGTGGGACTGATTATCCAGGGTCCAAATAGGAGAGGGGCCTCTGGGATTTTGTTTTCCGTTTTTTTTTTTTTTTTTTTTTCTTTCTAAGCAATAGTGCCATAAGTAAATTAAAATTGGCTGAATAAATCTGCTGAAAGATGGAAACTTGTATCTTACTATATCTTACTATATAATGATGAAAACTCTGTCTGTGGGTGTGTGGGTGTGTCTGTCTGTGTGTCTGTTCCACGTTTTTCTCCTCACTCACTTGGTAAATCCATGTGAAATTTGGCACAGTGGTAGAGGGTCATGGGAGGATGCGAATGAAGCAATATTACATCATTTGGCCAAAGGGGGGCGCTATAGCAACCGATTGGAATTGCAAACTTAGAATGGGCATATCTCATGCCCCGTATGTCGTACAGACATGAAACTTTGCACAGAGATGCCTCCCCCCATGAGGAACAAATTTGCCCCAAGAACCCATAACTTCAGACTTTATACAGATTTTCCACCATTTTTAATTTTTTGAAAACCACTTAAAATCGATCTCTTCCTTGGAAGTTTGACCGATCTGCATTAAACTCAGTGAACATAATCTAGGGACCAATATCTAAAGTTCCCTCTCGGCAAAAGTTGGAAAACTTACTAAAACTCAGCTTCTATAAGGCAATGAATATTGTGGAGGGCGT